ATTTACGAAGCCATTCAACCAGAAATGAGCCTCATCGCTGAACAAAACACACGCGCGCGCACACATTTCGAACCGAACACTGATTTTGGTAATAAAATTCAATGATTTGCAAGCGTTGCTCGTTAGTAAGTCTATTCATGATGAAATGTCAAAGCATACTGAGCATCTTTCTCTTTGACACCATGTCTGAAATCCCACGTGATCTGTCAAATACTAATGCATGAAAATCCTAACCTCAAAAAAATCACCCGTTATGTATGTGTAATATTTACATGCCCTCTGAGGAGAAACGGGCAAAACATTTTATCAATACCAATAAATATGTAAGGCTTGAATTCTAACTATGTAATCAAAAAAGGATATGTATCGCCCTTAAAGTTTTGAATGATAAATTTAAAAGAAAGTGCCGCATTTCCCACAATATATATATGTACGAGCCCAAAATGTTTGATGGGAGTGCAAAAATTTAAAGGTATGTAATCAAAATAATTGTATAACAATTATTATTGAAATATCTCATCAAGCCCTTTTCAATAAAAAATCATATGTTAGCAAAAGTTTGCAAATAAAGATTTACGTATATAAATATTTACAAAATATGCATATATAAGCAAGCTAAGAAGGCAAAAGTATCTAATGTTTTATTTCTTACCAGCAAGCTTTTTGCATAAGTCTGTCTAGAATGGCATCTAAGGAGTACTAGTTGAACAACTAAAAAACAATTTACTTCATTTTTAATTATAGTACCGAACGACTTTTTGTGGTGACGATTAAATAATAAAAATCAGCTATTTATTGTTAATGATTTCATTTTTCTGCTACTTGCATTTCTGGCGAAGATTTTTAATTGTTCTCCAATGTTCACCAGTAATGAAATATTGAAGCAATAAAAAGCTAAATTACTCATATTTTGAATACACATACTTATATTTTATGTGTGTCGTTTTTCAGCCCGTATCTAAAATTTTAATTAATTTTGATATTTTATGAGAAATCGTAAACACAGTTTAGCCTTTGCAGAAAAGTACAACACTCTGTGAGTTACTTGCATTAACAATGAAAATGAAAATTAGTACAGAACCGTCGAAGTCGACTTAAGAAAGAATGGAGTTCTATATGCTATCGTATTCATCAACCACCATTCCAAGCGTATGTGAAATCCCCATCACGCCAGCTAGGCTACTTAAAAAGTTATAGGCGATAATATTTTGGTAAATGGTAATGCACCTATCTTAGAAAATGTATTTAAATGAAAATTTAAAAACGATATACTAAAAAAGTAAAAATAACCAC